GAAAAATGTAATGTAATGTAATTACTAATCATAAACAAGTATTTTATCTTCATGATAATTAAAATATTCGTACGTACATACTAGGGATGGGTTCGGTCGGTCATGGTCAGTCACGGTCGGTCATTACCGGTTATTGATAGTCAACCGGTCGGTTATATACAGTTAAATGACCGGTCATGACCGATTGATTATTTAATCGATTAGTTAGATTTTTACTCTGTAAACCCTTCTTCTACTTCTAATAAAAGTTGTAGAGGAAGAAATTTTGGTCATTGCGATGGTTAAAACACTAAAATTGCGGACCATCTATGGACACGTACCAGATCATGTGATTTTACACATTCGAAGATCACAAAATTTTCTTTACTTTTGGACAAATTTCTTCAACAATTGTCCAGTGGAATTCGATGGAAAATTATAAATAAAATTATTACAATTGACAGAAATTATTTAAAAACTTTTTCATCAAATTCCATTGAGTAGTTGTTGAGAAATTTTCATTCAAAGTTAGGGGAAATTTCTGTCGCCTAAGAAAATAGCCACGGCAAAAATTTTTTTAAACTTTAAATGAAAATTTCTCAACACCTACCTGATAAAATTCAATGAATATTTTTTTAAATGAATTCTATAAAATATGAAAATTTGCTTAAATTTTTTTCATCAAATTTTGACAAGTAGTTATCAAGAAATTTTCGTTCAAATCTTAATAAAATTTTACTAAGCTATTAATAAACAGTCTTTTTCCAAACTCTGAACGAAAGTTTTATGACAACTACTCATCGAAATTTGATAAAAATTTTTTTATATAAATTATAGAATTCATTTAAAAATTTTTATCAAATTCTATCAGGTAGGTGTTGAGAAATTTTTGTCAAAGTTTAGAAAAATTTTGCCATGGCTATTTTCTTCAAGATAGCAGAAATTTCCCCTAACTTTGAATGAAAATCTCTCGACAATTAATTATTAGAGTCTGATGAAATTTTTTAAAATAAATTCTGCCAATCATATAATTTTATTTAAAAAATTTTCTATCGAATTCCATTATATAGTAGTTGAGAAATTTGTCCAAAAGTTAAAAAAAATTTGTGATCTTCGATATATACAAAATTATAATTATAATCAAAATTTGACAATGATTTTCTTAACAACTAGTAATTGTAATCAGTTAAAATTTTTACTAACGATAATATCAATATTCCTCTATAAGATAATTAAATTTTATCCAGATTGGTCTAGTAGTTCTCAAGTAATTGCTTCTATACGATAATTAATTGTTTTAAAAAATTAACTATCGTATAGAAGCAATTACTCAAGAACTACTAAGTAAATTTGAATAAATTATAAATATATTATAGAGGAATATTGATACTATGTTTAGTAAAAATTTTAACTAATTCTAACTAATAGTTATCGAGAAAAATGTTGTCAAAGTTAGATTAAAACTTATGAATTTTTGATATATATTGTTAGTAATCACAATCATTTATACTCATCTGTAAATTTTCTTGATGTTATTCATATAACAAAATATATCATAATTAATTTAATTAATTTTTTTTAAATTATGTTTTTAAAATTTATTCCAATAAAAAATATTAAAGAATACAATTTAAAATTAAATAATACAGATTTTATAATATAAAATATATTTAAAATATTTGATAAATAAAAAAATAAATATATAAATATAAAATTTAGGCAAATTGTCAAGGAAAAAAATCCAATAGGAAAAAACCTTAAATAAAAAATATATATAATTTAATAAATAAATAAATATAAAATAAATAAATAAATATATATAATAAATATATAAAAATAAATAAATAGATATAAAATATATATATAATAATATTTTTTGATAACCAGCTATGTAAGCATAAACATGCTCTAGCTGATTCACTACTTAATCTATTTCTTGATTTAGTAATTACTTGACTAGCAATTGAAAAAGTTGTTCACATGGAACTGAGTTAGCTTGAATATACAAATAATTATAAGCAAGCTTTGAAAGTATTGGATATTCTGCTATATGAGTACTCCACTAATCCAAAAGTTTTATAGATTCATTTGCTTCTGCATTAGACCAATAATTTTGAACTTCATCATCTATTGTTTGTATTTGTTGTGATGAATTTTGTAATTTTTGATAAAAACTTGATGCTTTTTTAAATGGTAGTAATAAAGTTGGTTGTAAATTTATTTTTTTTCTAATTAGTGTTAAAATTTCTTCAATAGACATGTTAGGAAAACAATACTTTTTATATCTAGGATCTAAAAAAGCAGAAATATATAAAGATTCTGTTATTAAATTGAAATATTCGATATATTTAAATATCATAGCATCAACAATATTTTGTAATAGATAGTTTTCACGCTTATCAAGTTCTAAATCATTTCTAAGAGCTAATAAAATTATTTGTGCATGTGCAATTGTTGGATAGATTTGTAATGAAAGTTCAATAGTAGTATCATTGAATTGTTCTAATAGCTGAATTAAATTTTCATAAATTTTCCAATTTTTATTAGGCATATAAATTTTTAAATTTGGATGTTTAACTAATAGCATTTCTATAGACTCGTAAAGTACACATGCTCTTTTAACCATTTGGTAAGTTGAGTTCTATCTTGTTTTACAGTCCAGAATTGGAATTAAAAAAGTTTTTTTTATCTAAAGTTGCAATATTTTCTAAATCTTCGAGAATTTTGGCCGATTTACGAATTGTTTTAATTAATTTTCTTAATTTTTTAATTGGATCTTCTAAAAGTTTTAAACCAGATGCAACTACTAAATTAAGTATATATGCTATGCATCTATATGACAAAAATTATTTAAAATTAACTTATCTTGTAAATAATTTGCAGCAAAAATCATATTAGCACTATTATCAGTAGTTAATCCAATAACTTTAGTTTCAACATTAAATTCTTCAAGCAAATTATATATTTTATCAGCAATTATTTCTCCAGTATGAGAACCTTTAAATTGAAATATAT